AGGCGTTTTCTAGCATTCAGGGTTAGACAGGATCTGTTTCTGAAAAAGAAACCCAGTTTAACTTTCAGTTTCTTTACCAAGTTTTCCACATGGAGCTTAAAAGAGAGATGTGAGTCGACCAAGATACCCAAATATTTATAGGAATCAACAAACTCAATGGGGACACCATTTGAGGATAAAATCGGAGGAAGAACTGCTGGGACCAACTTCCCATTTGAAAAAAGCATCCGTTTGGTTTTGTCGGCATTTAGGACAAGTTTGAGGTGGAACAAATCAGTCTGGATGTAGTTGAATGCAGAATTCAAAAGCTGGAAAGCCTTAGCAACAGTTTTAGCTCGACAATAAACAACTGTGTCATCAGCATAGAAGTGTATGGATGCATTAGGGATGTTTTTACCTACATTATGTATGTAGATTGTAAAGAGGGTGGGTCCTAAGACTGAGCCTTGTGGTACACCATTGTTGACGTTAAATAACTGGAGGAAGTACCATTATGTTGAACACATTGCCTCCGGTCTGAAAGATAGTTAGAGAACCAACCAATGGTGTGTTCTGAGAAACCAATTTCTGTGAGTTTATGACACAAGATGTTATGATCCACAGTGTCAAAAGCTTTAGACAGGTCTAAGAAAAGTGCAGCACAATAATCCTTAGCATCCAGTGCTTCAACAACGTCATTAAGAACCTTCAGTGAAGCAGTGGTTGTGCTGTGTTGTTTCCTGAAACCAGATTGATGTGGAGGTAAGATGTTAAATGAGTCCAGGTAATTTTTGATTTGAGAGTTTATCAGTTTTTCTAGAACCTTGGCTAAAATGCAGAGTTTAGAGATTGGTCGATAGTTGTTCAGTGAGGTGGGGTCACCTCCCTTCAGCAAAGGAAGAACAAAGGCCGTTTTCCAAGTGCCTGGGATGGAGTTTTGTCTTATGGAGAGATTGAAGATGTGGGTCACAGGGACTGTGATGATATGAGCAGCCAGCCTTGAGAAATAAGGTGGAAGTTCATCTGGACCTGCAGATTTTTTAGGGTCAAGATCTTTTAACAGTTTATTGACCTCACTGACTGAGAATGGAGAAAAAGAGAAGCTGTGATTAACTGAGGATTGACTTGTAGGAGGGATTTGATTTGTAGAAGTTTGGTTATTAAGTGAAGTGGCTGATTTTCCATTAGTTACTGTGTCAAATAAAGAACCAGAAGCAACAAAATGTTTGTTGAAACAGTTCAGGATCTCGTGCTTATTTGACACAGGAACAGAGTTAACGAGAAGTTGTGATGGGAGGTCAGATGATTGGGGGATGCCTGAGAGAGATTTGATGGTTTTCCAGAATCTGTTAGGGTCATTTAGATTTTTGGAGGTCTGAGATAAGAAATAGTTGCGTTTTGCTGCTTTGACAGCAGTTGTGCATTTATTCCTCATCTGTCGAAAACTCAACCAATCAGTGTCTGGGTCAGATTTTCTCGCTGTGGCCCAAAGATGATCTCTCCTGTGCAGGAGGTCAGCTAGCTCTGGAGTAAACGTAAATGTATCAGGCTGACTTGTAGCGTTTAGATTAAATCCAGAGCCAAACCACTTCCTGTTAGACTGCTTTTAACCTTTGGTTTTAATTTTCTAATTTATGTCCTCTTTTTTGTTATTTAAAATAAGCCTGTTAGTCCAGCTTTTTGGGAACTAGGCACCTATTATTCTACACCTTGGAAGTGTGTCTACATTTCTATCTCGGTTAATGCGGCCCGAACTACAGTGTCTACCCCCACAAAAGTTATATCAAAATGACTGGCTCGGCCCTTTGATGTGTGCTATTACTCAAAATTGGCATTTTGAGTTACCATGGCGACGCAATTTGGAACAAAAACGCAACATTTCACCAACTCCAGGAACTTGTTGGTGACTGCCCAGTTATTATTCTACACCTGAAAAGCATATCTTTTTCAACTTTAATGCGGCCCAAACTACAACGTTGTCCCCCACAAAAGTTATATCAAAACGATCGGCCCGGCTCCGGGAAGTGCAATTACTTTTATTGGCATTCGCAGTTACCATGGCGACATATTTTGCTAACAAAGATGCCAAATTTCCCATAGGAAATGAATACAAGAAAACTCTTCACAGAAACCTAACGTATGGAGCCATTTTGGTTCAACATGCAAGGAAGGCACCTATTATCACCTATTATTATTATTAATTAGTAATAATAATAATAATGAACATCAATTATTAATATCAATGTTAATAATTATGCATTTTAATATGAATAATTATTAATATTAAGTATTGGTATGAATATTAGTAATATTGATTTTTAATATTTCGACAATAATAATTAACAATATATTACTAATTATTAATATTAATAAGCAGTATGATTATTGATATTAATAATCATTAATATTAATTTTAATAATAATTTAATTATAAATAGGCAGCCCCCGTCAAAGTTTCTCCAGGAACTTTCTAGTACTGTATTACCCTTTTTTTAAAATAAAACCATGGAGCTTGGGGTGAAGACCACCACCACCATCTTGTGGCTGCCAGGTTTGAGAGCAGTGAGATCACTGATCGCACTAAAATCCAAACATAAAGAACATACAGTGGTGCTTGAAAGTTTGTGAGCTCTTTATAATTTTCTATATTTCTACATAAATATGACCTAAAATATCATCAGATTTTCACACAAGTCCTAAAATTAGATAAAGAGAGCCCAATTAAACAAATGAGACAAAAATATCATACTTGGTCATTTATATATTGAGGAGTTTGATCCATTATTAAATATTCATGAGTGGTAAAAGTATGTGGACTTCTAATCTGCTGCCTTCCTTAGATAATGTTACTGACTTTTTATTTATGTGAATGTTTCTGTTCAGTGTCGAGGTGACTTCTGTAGTGACTTGGTGCTAAATAAACTGAAAACAACTCTTTATTCAATTAAATTCAAAATACCTTATTAATCCCAAAGGGAAATTATTTGTTGTTGTAACTCGTTATCCTCATTTCATTGAGAGATATTATAGATGCTGCTGTAGACAGGAAGGATCTCTTGTAAAGGTCCATCCCACAGTGGATCCAAATAAACTGGCTGCAGATGCCGTCCGATCTGTCCAGACTCGGCTGGTCTCTTGGTTCCCCCGGGCTGTAGGACCGCTTGAATGCCAGGCAGAACTCCTCCCAGAGCGATGGCCACTCCTCCCAGCAGTCTGCCGAACTCTTCGTCGCTGCGGACAGCCAATTGTAGGTGCCGAGGGACGATTCTGTCCTTCTGTTGTCATGACCCATGTTTCCTGCTAGTTCCAGGATCTCAGTGGTCAGGCACTCGAGCACAGCTGGCAGGTAGATGAGAATGCATCCACAGAACATCCTTTTCAACTCATTTGAGATTTGGGGCTGTAGTTGAGATATTATTTGAGCTTTTGAGATGTTAATCAGCTGCTGGTTGTAGAAAACTGCCTTGTTGGCATGGTTACACATCATCACAAATGTCCAAAACTAAAAAAGTTTCAGTAAAAATCCTTCCAGCTGCACAGCATCTGATACCAGAGGAAACAACCATCCAAAAAATGTGATTTACATCCAGAAAAAGAGGAACTAAAGTTTCCAAAAGCAAAATCCTACAATGAAAGTAACAGAGCTGCTCCAACATGCAGCCACCTTGAGAGGTGCAATTCTGGAAAGTATAAGCACTAAGTGTTGCCGTAATAACAAAAATAATAAAACTTAGCACTAAGTCCTTTTGTTGCTGTTTTATATATGAACATAAAAAATAAATCCTAGTCATTTCTCAGACTCGATTAGTTTAGTCATCATTTCCAGATCCAAGCTGTGATTTGTGAGGTAAATGGAACGCAGCATGCCATCATCACTTTTTTTCAAACTTTATTTCGAACAATCATTGATACAAAGCACAAATTAACAGTTAAGCCTCCATTTTTGCACCGAATCAGGCAAAGCTGATTTACAGCTGAATGTAAACCTTAACAAACATATTGATGTCAAAGATTGATGCTTTTATAAACTTTGTTTAAAAAACTATGAATAATTTCGTATACGTTTACTTTTGAAGACCATAATTTTCTTTTAAGACAGGGGTAGAGTTGTGTAAAAGGTTTGTAACTAGTATTTTACACTGGACGAGTTCACCTGTTAAAATGTGGCTTCTGTTAAAGAAACAATTCTACTTCCACACGAGTTGATCTGAAATCAAATTCTTCATCCATGGTTTTGATTGATAGAGCAAAGAGTGCGTAGGATTATTCACAAATACAGATTTTATTAGGTTTATCTTAAAAAATAAAGCGGAAAACTAGAGGAACACATCACATGGAGACCCATCTTGACTGACAAATTTCAAGAAATAAGTCATCGCAGTGAATTTTTTTTTATTTTTATTCGTTAATATGCTTCGTATAAGATCATTTGATTATTTTTCCTCAAAAGAGACGGAACTTTATTTGTTAAATGTGCAAAGAGGGAAAAAAGGAACACCTACTCTGATGAAATGAGACCACAGAGGAACGGTTTTCGTGAGAGGAGCAGAAGAGACGAGGCTCGGGTTCACATATGAACAAAAAACTTTTCTGGGACAGGACGCAGTAGAAAACTGAGCTTCCACCTCAACTAAACTCTCAACCTCCTCGGGTTAGACTGCGCTCCTTTTTCAAACCATAGATATGACCTAGTTCCACCAAGTGTCATGGGAAGATCACACCAAGTAGAGAAATCCAGCTTTTCTAAACAATTTGTTTCTCGTGGTAAACACTGGGTGGCAGAATGCAGAAACCAGATGTTGAAGCTTTCTGCAGAGCACGCTTCCTGTTCAAAACAACTCCAGTCAAGGCTAAGAGTTGGATCGTTTCGAACTCGACAATGAAAAGTGTTCAAACGACCACTTTTCAGCAAATTGTAAAAGTTCTGAACTCAAATTGGACAAATAATCAGAACAATGTTTACGACTGTTCAATGGCAAAGTCATAGAAAAACATGTAAGCAAAAGAAAAAAGGGACTGGAAACAAGCTTTGATTATTATTTTAGATGTTTGAAGAGAAAATTAAACCAAACAGTGGATTTGAAAACAGTTAGTAGCTGTAATCATCAGGCAAACTACAACAAACTACATTCCTGCTTTTTTTTTTCAAATATTTTTCTCTTTTATTCCACAAAGTGGTGCAAAGATGCAGGCAACGGCCTATCAGACACCTCAGATGACAGTTTCCCCATGAGTAAGGCCACTTTATGGAGTATATTCTAAATGATAACACAACCTATCGCTTCTTGTTCTGCAGTGTCATCATCAGCACATGAATGAAAAACAACGCTTCAAGTTTCTAAATTAAAGAGCCTGAAGGCCAACTTGTATGTGGAGGTTGGCTGTAGTCCCCTTTTACCACCACAGCAAGACAAGAAAAGCTCAGTCCACGTTGTCACCACCAGCCATGCTGCTGAGGAACAAGCCCCAACCAAAACTCAAACACACACCTCTAAAGAACCGCGCGCGACAGGGTTGTAGTCTTGCAAAACGAAAATGGGTATTTTCACAGAAGTTTGTAAAATCGCCGTCTCTGATCCTCTGTGGCTTTGTCGAAGTCCAGAGAGAAGTTGCGCTGCACAACTGCTGCCCTGAGCACAGTCCACAAAGGATCTCTACGCCTCCCCTCGTTGCTGCTGCAGCGTCGCATGTTCGGATTGATTTGGCTTTTTCTGGTTCGGTTCTTATCTTTTAAGTCGGCCCCTTCAGATGCAGTCCTTCAGTTTCGATGACAAACGGTGTTATTTAAAGGGAGTCGCTGCAGGGGTTCTTGTGTATGACCGAGTGTGTGTGTGTGATGATGGTGGCAGGAGGAGCTCTTAGGACTGCAGTCCACACCGCTGGAGTTCAGCTTCCCTAAATGAGCTGAGCAGGACCGTGCTGGAGGGGCCAGGGGACGAAGGGAAGCAGCTCTACTTGTCCCCCAGGATGGCGTACTGGTTGTCGAGTTGCAGGTGCTGAATGGAAGCGCCGCTGGTTTCTTCCCGACCACGACTCTTGTGTTTCACAACCTCAAAGGTCTTCTCCATTTCTCTGTCCCTGAAAGACAAGGCGGGAGTTAAATCAGAACGACATAAATCTCACACGCAAACTCTTCGTCCTGGACTTTGGCTTACTTGCGTGTCTCAACGTGCTTGGCGGTGGACAGTAGGGAGGGGAACTGTGCGTCACTGAAGATCTCAGGAGGGCCCTGGCTGGGGCCTCGTCTGCTGGGGGTAAGTCGAGCTCCAGGAGGTCTGTAGACACCAGCAGGCTTCACCTCAGGCAACTCTTCTTCCTCTGTGTGCAAAATCAGAACCTCTACATGTAGTTATTGTATCAATAAATCCTATAATCCATTTGTTTTAGCGTTTCTTTCCTGGATGGACTTCTCAACACAAATGTCTGCGTACTGAAAGTGGTTCACTCACCTACAGGCGCAGCGGCAGGAGGAGCACCACCAGACTTGTTCCAGGGACCAGATACTTTGTCTCCACTGACCAGAATGATCTCTCCATCCTCCCCTATCTCCTCTTTCTCATATTCCTCTTCATCCTTTTCATCACTGCAAACAATGAGTTCAGCAGATGCTTCAAATTGATTTTGTTTAAGTAATAGCCTATTAAAAGTGATCCAGTGCGAATATTATAACCGCTCTGACAAATCAATACAAATACAATCAGCTGCTTTTTATATGGGAGCATCATGTACCTCTGCGTTGGACTTCAGCTTCAACAATCTAACAAGATTTGTAGATGTTGGACTAAACTGTATGAAACTACTTGATATGAATCAAAAGATTAGTTTTAGCCACACAAGAAAGTAAAATCAATTATTGTCAGGGACATTAATATCACATAATTTGGCTTGCTTTAAATTTATGTAACTGGATATGATCCTTGAGTATTACTAACACCTGCTTCTTGAAAACAATGCCTGAAAGAGAGTTTCATTTCCTGCAAATGCTGCTGGAAACTAATTTACCAGCAGTTAAAATAAACTAATTTACCTACAGGTCAAATAAACTAGTTGTAAGCCAACCTCATCAGTAGCGCCTGGAGTCTAAGCCCACTGTAGTCCACTTCTTTCTGCTCAAACTCTTTCCATTCCTCGTCCTCCTGGAAAGAAACATTTTACTATAAAACTGCACAGCAGCCAGCTGAGATATGACACTGCAACAAGGAATAAAATGATTTGGTATATATATATATATATATATATATATATATATATATATATATATATAGTTGCACAGAACTCAACATTTTCATGTGGCAAACATTACAACTTGCATTCATTTCCAAACCACATGTAATCAAAACTGTATTTAAAGAGTAAAATAGGAACAAATTCCATATTTCTATTTATAAGCAGCTTGATGGACAACCACAACAGAGTGTCAGTTTCCTCAAATAAATATGTGAACACTTAAAAGTCCAGTATCTAAAAGTACAACCCTAAAAAGTTTTGACACAGAATCCGAATCAGAGCATAAGATGGGTGTTGTGCTGATTTTTGTACCCTGTCAAAAATGTGCTACTGGTGGCCATATGTTAGCTACTGACCGGCATTTTATCTCGTGACAAAATGTACGACTTTCACCACGTTTATTAAATATAAAAGCACAAACTTAAAGACAACGCAGTAACATTCACAGGCTTAAATCTGAACACAAACTCTACCTCGACACCCCTCTGAGGCCAGAGGCGCTAATGAAGCAAAAAGTTACCAAACTAGCCTCGGTTACCTTTTCAACTTGCGCGTCTTGGTTTTCGTTTTTAGACGATTTTTCCTTCTCTTTCTTCATCTTTTTCACCACAGCCGTCGTGGAGGACCCGGTGGCGGGCTCCTTCCCCTTTACTTTCTCTTTCTTCTTCTTTTTATCCCTCTTGGCAAAGAAATCGTCCAGACTCTTCTCTGCTGGTTCCGCCATTTTCACCGAGCAACGAGCGTTAGTCAGCTAACTCGAGCAATGACAAGGAAGGAAAATCTGCTCCCGGAGAAAGAGGACAGCTGCTGAAACGACCGGAACAAGTTTAATTACTTCTTACTCTGACAGTTTAACATTTATTACAGCCTGATATTAAACAGGACGCCCTAGTTCCCCGTCTGAATCGTCGGCTATGCTGTCAACCATGCCATGCAGAGGATTTGACGAACCTGTCCCGTCGCCCGGAAACACTTCCGCTCTGAACCGGAAATACTTTTGTCCTGTCAAAATAAAAGTATGCACTTGTGTTAGATCACTTTTTAAATTTTTGTTATTGTGTGTGTGTGTGTGTGTTAGAACACTTGACTTGATAAGGAAATGGATAAAATCTTGGACTGAAAATTGTTGGATTGTATACCTGGATTATTGAGCATGGACTTTGTTGGATAAAGACTTGATTTACTTCACCCAATTTCTACTTCTCCTGGGAAAAGTTTCACATTCACAAGAAAAAGTGGTCAAACTCAAAGCCAAACATAACCCACTTCAGCAAGGAACTTTACATATACAGGACCACAATTAAAGGACTTAAAAACAAAAAGGTAATGAAAACCATCTCAGTTCTAGAAAACCTTAATGTGAATTTATCTATATAACCTGTACATAGATTTTGTACCTTTTTAGACTTTTTTAGCTTTTGTACCTTTCTGTACTTGTCTTGTTCTTTTTTATACTTGAATACTATTACCTGTTAATATACCCCTGACAGACACGTTTGTAATGTTGATAAAAACTTAATTCAAACTATATATATATATATATGAATCTTGCCATTAACTTGTCAAAATGACCAAAATGGGAGTTCCTCAATGGTCCAATTTTAGGACAATTGCTGTTCTGCTTGTATACTAATACTTTTTTTATGTTCAGTACCAAATCCAACAAAGTCCATGCTCAGTAATCCAGGTATACAATCCAACAAAATTCATTCAGGTCATCTGGACAGTTTCTTTATTTTTTATTTTTTTATTTTTTTTGTGCTGAAACGTTTCACCTTCCATCCAGAAGTCTTCATCAGTCAAGGAAACACACAACACAAAACTGATTCTTCCCCCAACAGCTTACTCCAAAGTGGAACAAACCAGTTATGTTGGTGCTAAGATGGTCTCTTTGGCATGGGGGAGGAAGAGGGCTGGCACCGGAGGAGGGGGTGTGCCAAAGAGCCCATCTTAGCACCAACATAACTGGTTTGTTCCACTTTGGCGTAAGCTGTTGGGGGAAGAATCAGCTTTGTTTTGTGTGTTTCCTTGACTGATGAAGACTTCTGGATGGAAGGTGAAACGTTTCAGCACAAAAAAAAAAAGGAACTGTCCAGATCACCTGACTGAAAATTGTTGGTTCAGTACCAAATGTTTGCAAAGGGTGGTAGATTTATGACTGCAAACACTCAACAAGCATACAATCATAGAACAGAATACTGTAGTAGACACGGCTGATCGAGTGGATTAAAATATTTGATTTTTATGACTGAACTCGCCATGTCCAGCCATCCCCTGCGACCCGAAAAGGAAGAAGTTGATAAAGATAACTGATGGACTGACCTGCCCCAAATCTGTCTCAATGGAGTTTTACAATCAAGCATATAGGTGGTTATTTTATTATCATTGATCAGGGGAAAATCTCAAAATTTAACGATCAAATGTTTAAATGCTTTTATATATTGTCATCCTAAATTTGGGGACCATCAAGTGTCCAACATTAACTATTTTATTCTAATAAAGTTATATTTCTTTATTTTTATTGTAAGTCAGACTGCAAGCTGTTCAAAAGATTGGTTACATTTTTTTTGGGGTGGGGGGGGTGGGGGTGGGATAAGAGACATTGACTTATGTACTGCATAATTTTATGTATTGTCTTATGTCCTTTTTTAATTAATACTATCCTCCCAGGGTAAAATTTGTAATAATATAGTCATCAACCTTTATTTATACAGGTTAGTCGCATTGAGCCTCAGGGACTCATTTTTTAAGAGAGACTCTGATTTTAACAAAGAGTGATGACAACAGTAGACAATCATAAAATAAAGCATACTAATTGAGAAGAACAAATGAAAGAAAATGGTATTAATAAAAAAAAAACTAGATTGTAAAGCTATGTAAAGTAATAAAAACAGGAACATGTCTGCATTGGTTTTTGCCATGAACTTAGCAGATGTTTGAAGCCACTTAGAGAGGTCAAGGTCAAGAGCTTCACATCTTTTTGTAAGATATTCCAGGAAACAGGAGCGAAGTAGGAGAAGGCCCTTTTGCCTTCAGTCCTCACTGAGGGAACACTGCAGGTAATAATGTCCTGAGAGCGCACGCTGTAGCTGCACTCACATAGTGACATGTAGGAGGAGATGTAAGAAATATAAGAAAAACAAGCATTTCACAAAACTTTACAATAGACAACAAGAATGTATGTGATGAAAATGTAATTGCTAATGGATTTAATCAATACTTTGTGAACGTTGGATCCAGCCTTGCTGCAACGATACCTAAAGTGGATAACAATGTGAACTATTTAATTGATGATTATCTTGCAAGTATGTTCCTGACTGGAACTGACAAATATGAAATAATGACTGTAGTCAATAAATTTGTAGACAAAAGATCAAAGGATTGGATGGATATGGACATGATGTTTGTAAAACACATATTGGGTCATGTAATCGAACCATTTACATATGTATGTAATTTATCTTTTACTAAGGGAGTATTTCCTGATAGAATGAAGGTGGCTAAAGTGGTTCCTCTTTTTAAAGGTGGTGACAAATGTGTGTTTAATAACTATCGACCGATATCCTTGTTACCACAGTTTTCTAAGATCTTGGAGAAATTATTTAGTAACAGATTAGACCAATTTATTGAAAGGCAAAATATTCTAACTAATAGCCAATATGGTTTTAGAGAAAAAAAATTCCACATCCATGGCGCTAGTAGACTTTATGGAACAAGTAACAACTGCTGTGGACCGAAAACAGTATTGTGTGAGTGTGTTTGTGGACTTAAAAAAGGCATTTGATACTGTCGATCATAACATTCTTTTTGAAAAATTATACAAATACGGTATCAGAGGATTGGCTCTGCAGTGGGTGTGCAGTTACTTAAAAAACAGGAACCAATTTGTGCAGATAAATGATGTGAGATCGGATTACTGCACCATTACATGTGGAGTTCCTCAAGGATCTGTAATTGGTCCAAAGTTGTTCATCTTGTATGTGAATGATTTGGTTAAGGTGTCCAGCCTCCTTAAATGCGTTCTTTTTGCGGATGACACAACTTTTTTTTGTTCTGGTAAGAATATTGAACAGTTATTGGAATTAATGATGATTGAGCTTTGTAAAATTCAAAGTTGGTTTAGACTAAACAAAGTATCGTTAAATTTGGATAAGACTAACTATATGATATTTAGCAATAAAAATAAAAATATTGATGTTTCATTCAAGATTGAAGATTCTGAAATCTGTAGAGTATATGAGGCGAAGTTTTTGGGTGTCATCATTGATGATAAATTATCATGGAAGCAACATATAAATTCTGTTAAAATGAAAATATTAAAATCTATTGCAATATTTTATAGAGTTAAGTATCTACTGAATGACAAAGCATTGTATTTGATGTATAATACAATTGTTGTGCCACATTTGATTTATTGTGTTAATGTTTGGAGAAAAGCATGTAAATCAATTACAAAGTCTATTTTTATTTTGCAGAAAAGAGTTGTAAGAATTATCAAGGGTAAACATTATTATCATCCATCGAGTATATTATTTTGTCAAATGAAGTTGTTGAAGTTCCCTGATTTGGTGGATTATACCATTTTGTCATTCATGTATAGAGCTCATAATAATACATTGCCTTCTAATATCCAAATGCATTGTGTAAAAAGAGCTAGTAATTATAATCTTAAGGGGAAAGATGTTTTTGTTAAACCGCAATTCAGAACCAGTTTGAAGGGAAGATCTACCCTAATTCAGGGTGTTGGACTGTGGAACGACTTGGAGTTAGATGTTAAGGAAGCTAAATCAATCTCGGTATTTAAGAAAATGGTAAAAATTCAATTGCTAAAAAAATATATATGAATGTATTTCATGAAAAATGTTGGATATTTGAAATATTACTTGAGTTATTTACTTGTTTCTGATAATTTTCTGAATATGTTTGTTTGAATGGTTTATTAGATAAATAAGGAGCAGATTCAATAAGATTTTTTCTTCATCTGCTACCTTTCATTTTATATTTATAATTGTTTTCTAATTACATATATGTTAATTGATATGTATTTTATTTTGTTATGAAATGAATAAATAAATAAATAAATAAAATAAAAATAAAATGTATGAAGGCAACAGACCAAGAAGTGATTTAAAGATGAAAATGTACCAGTGAGAAAGTCTGTGTGAAGTCAATGATGACCAGTTAACCAGTGAATACAGAGTGCAGTGATGGGCGTGGTAGTTACAGCCAGTTATGAATCTTAGTGCACTGTGATAGACAGCATCCAACATCTGCAAAGTGCTTGTAGGAGCGTTCATGCAAATAATGTCACTGTAGTCAACGGAGGGAAGGAAAGTCACAGTTAAGGCATTTCCTATCATACCAAGATACCCAAGTATTTGTAGGAATTGACAAACTCAATAGGAACACCATTCACGGATAAAATTGAAGGAAGAACTGCTGGGACCGACTTCCTGTTTGAAAACAACTTCCCTTTGGTTTTGTCAGTGTTTAGGACAAGTTTGAGACAGAACAAATCTGACTGAATATTGTCAAAAGCAGATTGCAAAAGCTGGAAAACCTTAGCAACTGTTTTAGCTCAACAATAAACAACTGTGTCATCAGCATAGAAATGTAAGGATGTATCAGGAACGATCTGACCTACATTTACTATGTAGATTGTGAAGAGGGTAGCTCCTAACACTGAGCCTTGTGGTACACCACTGTTGACTGTTAAATAACTGGAAGAAGTACCATTATGTTGAACACATTGCCTCCAATCTGGTGTGTTCTGAGAAACCAATTTCTGAGAGCTCATGACACAAGATGTCATGATCCACAGTGTGAAAATCTTTAGACAGGTCTAAGAAAAGTGCAGCACAATAATCCAGTGCTTCAACAACATCATTAAACACCTTCAGCGACGTAGTCATTGTGCTATAACATTGTACAATAACTCTTAAATACTATAATGACCATTGATAATGCTCAATAAAA